ACAATACATTAACAAAAGAAAGAACAAGAATCATATGATCCTCTCAATAGATGCAGAAAAAGCATTTGACAAAGTACAGCATCCTTTCTTGATCAAAACTCTTCAGAGTATAGGGATAGAGGGTACATACCTCAATATCATAAAAGCCATCTATGAAAAACCTACAGCAAATATCATTCTCAATGAGGAAAAGCTGAAAGCTTTTCCCCTAAGGTCAGGAATGCGCAGGGATGTCCACTCTCACCACTGCTATTCAACATAGTATTAGAAGTCCTAGCCACAGCAATCAGACAACAAAAAGAAATCAAAGGCATCCAAATCGGCAAAGAGGAAGTCAAACTCTCACTCTTTGCAGATGATATGATACTGTATGTGGAAAACCCAAAAGACTCCACCCCAAAACTGCTAGAATTCATACAGGAATTCAGTAAAGTGGCAGGATATAAAATCAATGCACAGAAATCAGTGGCATTCCTATACACCAACAAGACAGAAGAGAGACAAATCAAGGAGTCGATCCAATTTAAATTGCACCCAAAACCGTAAGATACCTAGGAATAAATTTAACCAAAGAGGCAAAGGATCTGTACTCAGAAAACTATAAAATACTCATGAAAGAAATTGAAGAAGACACAAGGAAATGGAAAAACGTTCCATGCTCATGGATTGGAAGAACAAACATTGTGAAGATGTCAATGCTACCTAGAGCAATCTACACATTCAATGCAATCCCCATCAAAATACCATCCACCTTTTTCAAAGAAATGGAACAAATAATTCTAAAATTTGTATGGAACCAGAAGAGACCCCGAATAGCCAGAGGAATATTGAAAAAGAAAAGCAAAGGTGGCGGCATCACAATTCCGGACTTCCAGCTCTATTACCAAGCTGTCATCATCAAGACAGTATGGTACTGGCACAAAAACAGACACATAGATCAATGGAACAGAAGAGAGAGCCCAGAAATGGACCCTCAACTCTATGGTCAACTCCTCTTTGACAAAGCAGGCAAGAATGTCCAATGGAAAAAAGACAGTCTCTTCAACAAATGGTGTTGGGAATATTGGACAGCCACATGCAGAAGAATGAAACTGGACCGTTTCCTTACACCACACACAAAAAGAGACTCCAAATGGTTGAAAGACCTAAACGTGAGACAGGAGTCCATCCAAATCCTAAAGGAGAATACAGGCAGCAACCTCTTCGACCTCAGCCACAGCAGCTTCTTCCTAGAAACATTGCCAAAGGCAAGGGAAGGAAGGGCAAAAATGAACTATTGGGATTTCATCAAGATAAAAAGCTTTTGCATAGCAAAAGAAACAGTCCACAAAACCAAAAGACAACCGACAGAATGGGAGAAAATATTTGCAAATGACATATCAGATAAAGGGGTAGTATCCAAAATCTATAAAGAACTTATCAAACTCAACACCCAAAGAACAAATAATCCAATCAAGAAGTGGGCAGAAGACATGAACAGACATTTTTCTAAAGAAGACATCCAAATGGCCAACAGACACATGAAAAAGTGCTCAACATCGCTCGGCATCAGGGAAATCCAAATCAAAACCTCAATGAGATACCACCTCACACCTGTCATAATGGCTAAAATTAACAAGTCGGGAAACGACAGATGTTGGCGGGGATGCGGAGAAAGGGGAACCCTCCTACACTGTTGGTGGGAATGCAACTGGTGCAACCACTCTGGAAAACAGTATGGAGGTTCCTCAAACAGTTGAAAATAGAGGTACCATACGATCCAGCAATTGCACTACTGGGTATTTACCACAAAGATACAAATGTAGGGATCTGAAGGGGTACGTGCACCCCAGTGCTTATAGCAGCAACGTCCACGATAGCCAAACTGTGGAAAGAGCCAAGATGTCCATCGACAGATGAATGGATAAAGAAGAAGTGGTATATATACACAATGGAATATTATGCAGCCATCAAAAGGAATGAGATCTTGCCATTTGCAACGATGTGGATGGAACTGGAGGGTGTTATGCTGAGTGAAATAAGTCAATCAGAGAAAAACATGTATCATATGACCTCACTGATATGAGGAATTCTTAATCTCAGGAAACAAACTGAGGGTTGCTGGAGTGGTGGGGGGTGGGAGGGATCAGGTGGCTGGGTGATAGACATTGGGGAGGGTATGTGCTATGGTGAACACTGTGAATTGTACAAGAGTGATGAATCACGGATCTGTACTTCTGAAACAAATAATGCAATATATGTTAAGAAAAAAAAAGAAGAAGAAGGTAGCAGGAGGGGAAGAATGAAGGGGAGTAAGTCGGAGGGGGAGACGAACCATGAGAGACGATGGACTCTGAAAAACAAACTGAGGGTTCTAGAGGGGAGGGGGCGTGGGGGGATGGGTTAGCCTGGTGATGGGTATTAAAGAGGGCACATTCTGCATGGAGCACTGGGTGTTAATGCAGAAACAATGAATCACGGAACACTACATCAAAAACTAATGATGTAATGTATGGTGATTAACAAAGCAATAAAAAATTATTTAAAAAAATATATAAAAATATTTTGAGCCACAAAATATTAATATTTGCATATTGTCCCTAGTTGAGAACATATCCAATTATATACTATTGTGTTAACTTCGAATTGGAGACACCAGTATGAACTTATGCTTGGTTAGTATGAATACAGCTGGAAACCTATATTCATCAATGTCTGTATATAACACAGGTTAGTACACACACAGGTCTCTTTACTCTGCAGCTGATATAGGGCCCAGCAACAATCACACCTAATACCCAGATCTTGGCTTAATACCACTCTCCAATTAAAAAAAAAAAAAAAGAAATGGTTGATTGGGTGATTCTAGGATTGGAACAGGATATACAAGAGATGAGCCCGCAGCATCTTTTGGTGCCAGAGGGTATAACAAAGTGCCCAAAAAGGGGGCAGGGGCACAATGCTGGGGATGTGACCAAAGCTGGAACAATGGGAGCAAAAATTAGAATAGTACTGGATTATAACCCAAAGTCCATATTGATATAAATAACTTGGTAGTTACGAAGAGCCAGCTCTCCTGTGCAGGAAAATTCCAAACAGCTGATACAGACACTCTGCCCTTAGGAAATGGAGCATAACTCCCCAATCTTTAGGTGTAGGCTGTACATGCTGACTTCCTTCCTAAGACTATAGTACAGAGGGAGAAATACCAGAGTAACTTTGTGGTGAAGAAACCAGACAAACCTTACCTCAGCAAGGTAATCAAGATTAACATCAACAGCGACAGGTCATATGGATGGTATGTGCCCCTGATACAAAGTAATGAAAGTGGCACTTTACCTCTGTGGCCTTCCTCCCAGAAATGTGCTGCCCCAGTTTAACCATGAAAAAAACACCAGATAAATCCCAACCGGAAAACATTCTACAAAACACCTGACCAGCACTCCTTAAAACTAACAAGATTATAAAAAATAAGTCTGAGAAATGGTCATAGCCAAGAGGACGCTAAGAAAACATGAACAGATGGATTGTGGGGTCCTGAAAAAGAAAAAGGACATTAGGGGAAAACTGAGGAAACACAGATAAAGTAGGAACTTTAGTTAATAATGATGTATCCATACTGGTTCATTAACTGTGCCAAATAACACTCAATGTCAAGTGTTAACAGTAGGGAAACTGGGTCTGCAGTATACAGGAACTCTTATAATAATTCTGTAAAACTGAAACTTCCAAAATTTAAGATTCATTTTTTAAAAAGAAAAAGAAACTGAACTGGAGGACGCCCAGCCAGTATCAGAGAGTTGTTGATGGAGCTCATCACTAACTCAGACTGAGCCCCCATTTAGCTAAAATATTCTGAAGCATCACTGCACATTTCAGCCTAGAATTTAAGAGTATCTTGGGTGCCAGGGTTGTAAAGTAATTGAGAGAATTACCCACTTGTACAGATAAGGAAGCTGGGAAGGTCACCAGGGTCAGAGAGAGAGAGAGTGATAAGGCTGAAAGCAGAAGCCCAACTTGGGGTTTCCTGGCTCTGCGCCGCACTCTCTTCTGGGTCACGGGCCCTTCAGAGCCAGCTGTGCAGCACTCAGCCCCTAACTTTGTAATGTGACCTGCAGTTCAAAGGACTCTGTGGGCCTCCGTGAACCACACGCAGAGAAGGGCATCAGGTATTGCAGAAACAGTGAAAGACAGACTTCTGGACCTTGGACAGCATACAGATCAAGAGAAGACTCGCTGAAAAGTTCATTTAAATAAAATTCTCACAAACATGCAAGTCACAGGTAGTAGACTAGCCCACAGTAGCTTAAACACAGAGACATCTATATCCTGAACGTACTAAACATGCCAGTTCACTGTTAGCAGACAGTATCCCAGAAGCTCAGTACCAGCCAATGAACAGGGGCATAGCCATTCCTGAACCTTTAAAAACCTACAAATGGGAAATCTGTACTGTTTTCACCTGCTCTCAGCCCTGCCAAAATCAAGTACAAAGAGCCTCTCTCTCCCAGCCTTGCGGGTAAAAACCAGCTTTCCACATTCCAGCTCCACAGCAGGAAGGGAACAACCTCAGAACGAAGCTCAAGTCCTGCGACTCAGGTCACGTGGACAGTGACGGTGTGACTTCCCGAAGGCCTCAGGTGAGCTTCTGCTTACATGCACATGGTAACCATTCAGTCATCAACTAGAGCTACAACGTAGAGACACACAGGACCTGCTGCCAGGGTTATTCTAACCAGTGCGATCGATGGGTGGAGTACTGTAAATGGAATGTATGCCATACGGGAATCTATGAAGGTGGACGACCCGATCGTCCAGGACGCCAAGCATCAGAGCAGTGCTGTTCTATTCCAGTAACAGCTTTTGCAAACTATTTCCTCATGGAGTGGAGAGATGACAAGCAGTTCACGTGAGAAACCAACCCTAAGTGCTTTGGGGAGAAAGCCGGCAAGGCAGTGTGTGGACCAAGAACGACCAAGAACAGTGATCACTTAGTAATGTCTGCCACAGGTGTAGGAGTGAGAAGCGGGGACACTGATATGGAAGAACTAACCTCTGCATCAGGAAACCTGCCCTTGGGGCGCCTGGGTGGCTCAGTTGGTTAAGCGACTGCCTTCAGCTCAGGTCAGGATCCTGGAGTCCTGGGATCGAGTCCCGCATCGGGCTCCCTGCTCGGCGGGGAGTCTGCTTCTCCCTCTGACCCTCTTCCCTCTCGTGCTATCTCTCATTCTCTCTCTCTCAAATGGATAAATAAAATCTTAAAAAAAAAAAAAAAAAAAAAGGAAACCTGCCCTTGCTGTCAGCTCTTTGACTCCCAGCACTGCCTTCTAAAAAGGCTTTAGACCCGACAGGATGCTTTCACAGAGGGTGTGCAGGGAAGCTTCTGATGTCCCACAAACTGAATGCACAACTTTGCAGATATTGCTAACAAGGGGTCCGTACCTTTTATCAGATTCTCAAAAAGGGTCTATAATCCAAAGGCAGTAAGAATAACTCTTTCAAGCTTCCAGCATTCCATGAACACCATCCCCAGGAAACACGCTGTATCCGGTATAACACTTTGGGGACAACTACCTCAATACTGACATCAGTCAGAAAGAGTTTCAATCTAGCCATCAACCTCCTAAGAGAAAAAGGGTGAGTCCAGCATGCCTAGCCATTCTGCTGTCTGCCCCAACATGGGGAGCAGGGCCACCCTCCCCGTCACCGGGCCTGGTGGACTGCTGATTTCCAGCTAGGTGAACATCTTCTGAGTCAATATTTATCAAGTGAGGCCATTAAAGGCTTATCCTATTTGAATGAATGGAAGGGAAAGGTGTGTGAAGGTATCTTCTAAGGATGAATGATAATTAGACTGGGGCCGTCTTCACTTTTGTCTGAATGTACCTCGTTGATTACTAGCCTAGCTCAGGGATTCTCAACTGAAGACTACCATGTTTGAGGCCAGAGAAAACTCTGTTATGGGGCCTGCCCTGTGCATTGCAGGATGCTGGCCGCAGGTCTCCGGACATTGCCAAAGGTCTCCTGGGAGCAAAATCGCCACCCAAAATTGAGAACCACTGGCCTAGCTGAAGAAGGTTCCAAATGCATATTTTCTAATTACGTTTCCCTTTGTATTGACTGTTGGTGCATGTCCTCTGCATATTTATATATTTGGGGCTTCCTGGTTTTAGTAGTAGTTGGTTTTAAAGTGATCAGGAAGATATCACAGTGAGTGCACAATCTTTTGGAAGGACCTCAAAATCCCAATGAGGGCAGTGGGGTGAGGAAACTCATTCAGAAGGCAACTACGCAATTTATGACACTGAACCTACAGCCAAATCCTGTTTTAGAAGGAAATAATCCAAAATAATAATCTTTAAAAATTACACACAGTGATATCAGGCTAGTTATAATAATCAAAACTCAGAAGTAACCTAATTATCCAAAACAGGGAAATCATGAATTAAATTCCATGCCTCCACAGTATTAACCAGCCATTTTTAATGATACATTTTGGAGCAGTATGGACTTTTATTTATACATAACACAGGTTAAGTGGAAAACAATGATTTAAAAATGTTACCAGTGACTGCAATGATGTGAAAAATCCATATGACCTTGGAAAACGGACTAGGGAGAAGTCAGCAAATGGAAAAGAGGAATGGGCTCACAGGTGGCTGGTTGCCTGAATCCCAGACCCCCTGTGCCTGAGCCATGCTGCTTTTGGGGGAGGGGAATACAGACTAGAATTTATTCTCCTCTCTCTAAATTGGTTTTTACTATCTTACTATACGGTTTAGCTAACCTTTTGAAAGTTTATTGTTTTTTTGGTCATAAAAATACTCTGAGAAGTAAACGTGTAGGGTTTTTGTATGCAACTGAAGTTATCATCCTTTTAAAATGGACAGTCCTAACTGTAAGCTGGGGAGAGAATGGGCAGCATGGGGACTACAGTTGCTAACAACATACACCTCGAATGTGCTGAAAGCGTAGATCCTAAGTGTTCTCACCACACATGCACGAAGTTTATGGTTAATTAGCTTCATCGGGGACATGATTTCACAATGTAGAGGCATATCAAAATTTCATATTTTATACCTTAAATATACACAATGAGTATCTGTCACTCATACTTCAATAAAGCTGAAAAATAAAAGTGCTCTATTCTCACGGCAGAAATCTGGAAAGACACTAGAAGTCTCAGAGAAACAGAATGTCCACATGCCAACACCCAGAGATAAATCACTCATAGGATGCCAAGACGCCTTTCAGTCTAGGAGGTGGACATGGGGCGTGTCTGAGCACTTCCGTGCTCAGATATTTTTAAAGGCTTTCCATTATTGACTTAACCGGTACACCTGCATTTTAAAACTTAAAGTGACTTTACAAAGCATGTTGATAAATCATTTCCTGCTCAGGAACACCACCCTCTTGTGTATCCTGTATCATGAGCCACTGGCTAACCCTCTTGCCCAGCTTTCTGAGGCACGGCTCACGCGTACAGAATAAAGTGCACCGGGCCTCCTGCAGAGCACCAACGTGCCAGGACCAGAAGGGTGGGCACAGCGCACACCCACCCCCCCGGCTCACCCCCACGGCAGCCCCCCAGGGGTGGGCCCCACACGCGGAGGCATACTTACAGGTCGTAGGAGAACTTCCGCTCCAGGTTGGTCTGGTTCCTCTGGAACTGGAGCACATCCTGCTGCAGCCTGCCGTAGTTCTTCTGCAGGGCCTTCAACTGGTCTGAGGCAAGAGGACGACCCAGAATCCGGCAGGTCGCGGGCATGACCGTCATGACAACAGCAGACGCGTCAGAACACAGTGGGCAATGGCACACAGGAGAGTAAGGGTGGGGAGGAGAGAGGGATGAGAACATTCCAGAACCGTGGAGGAGCCTTGGGAATCTGCAACCCAACTGGAACCTGCACCCTCTTTTCCAAATCTCTCTCTTAAATCGATATTTTGACCTCTGATCTTTAAAATGCGTTCAGAGGTTCTGTTCGGGTGTTTCTTAGACATCCTAAACCCTGAGCTGTCCCACCGTGTCCCCTGGTCCCCAGCAGACTTACCCTTCAGCCTGTGAAACACGGATATCAACATCTGCTCAGGTAAGCAGCCACTCATGGCGGACCCCCGTCCTGGGCCACCAGGTTACCTACCGGCCGCCCCCTCCTCCCGCTCGTCCACACCGGCCATTCCCGGAGGCCTGTGCTCATCCAGTCACCCCACCTCCCCTGCCCCCATTTGGGAAACGGCAGCCTCCCTGAGGAGATTCATCAGCCAGCCCTGCTGCCCTGGCCTCTCGGCTCCTAAAAGCCTTGCAGAAATAGCAGCCGCTGACCAAGCGCCAGACCAAGGCTGCCACAGAGGTGACAGCAGAGTGGCCACAAGGCCGCCACTGGGGCCTGGGACTCAGCTCCGGACACACACCCGCATCCCCGAGGTTTGTCCCTGTAACTCTACACCTACAGGGCTCTCTAGGGGGAAAATGAAATGAAAGTGAAGGACTCAATGAAATGCCAAACACACAGCAACAAGGCTCCATCTCATAAGCAGTTCTAGGAGATGCTTGAAGAGTTAAAACTCTGGGGTCGTAGTACCACCTGGGGCGCTGGAGGCTGAGGCAGGGGACTGACTACAAAAGGTTGGGGGGGCACTTCCTGGAGGGACAGGGTCTGGTCGTGGCTGTGTCGGTCCAGGGGACTGTGCATTTGTCCAAACACAGAACTCTATACCACAAAGGGTACACTTTAGTAGGTGTAAGTTACACCTCAATAATGACTGCACAGTAAGAAAACTCCCACAAGCAAACCAAGTATGGGGTGAGGGGATACTGCTCGGCAACAGAAGGAATAATCTGATATCCACAACGTGGATGCATCTCAAAAGGCCAGACAAGAAAGGGGAGCTCTACAAAGCCCCCAGCAGTCCAGTGACCCATGTAACTTTGTATAACCCTGAATCTCCCCTACTCATAGTCTTAGAACCAGATGTGGAATGAGAATCCTAGGCCAGCACTGTCCAGCGGAACTACAAGGCAAGCCACGTAGATAATTTTTCTAGCAACCACATTTCTAAGATCTAAACCAGGTGTATTATTACTTTTAATAATACATTTGATTGAACTCAACAGCTATGCAACATTATCGTGCTAACACACAATGAATATAAAAAAATTATGAACGAGATATTTTATATTCTTTCATACTATGTCTCTGAAATCTGGTGTGTACAATTAGAGCATATCTCAATCCAGACGTTAAATCTGCACTGGGAATGCTTGATCTGAATTTAGGTTTCATCAAATGTACAGTTAAAAAGTAGACTAATATATAAGTTGTAAATGCTTAGTGCTCCCAACAGAGTCGAGTTTCAGTCTCTAACTTAAATCACTGAAAATTACACAAAAATTTAAAATCCAGTTCCATCCCACTAGCCACGTTTCAGGGGTTCACAGGCCACATGGCTCGTGGCCACCACTCTGGATGGTACGGCTCTAGACAGACCTTCCCGTCCCAGAGGCAGAAGTGAGGATGGGGGGCCCATGGGAGCTTCCTACCCCCGGCAAAGGCCGGCCTCATGAGACCCCCTTTCACCAGGCCCCAGGATCACCCAGGGCCTGCGGAGCCCCTCAGTCAGAGCGGAAGGGGGAGCCGACCACAGAGGGGCTCACCCCGTGACTGCCCTCATCACCGCTGCTTCCCAAGGCCCGACAGAAACCAGCCCTGGCTGCCAAACTGAATCAGGGCAGGAAAGAAGTGGAATTAAATTGGACTAGATAATTTTTATAATTTTCATTAGGGAAATCTGAATTCAGGGTGGCCCATTTAAAAGAAATCCTATATATACTACACATATTTTATATGTATGTGATAGGTGATCTGTTCTGTATACTTCTTAACCTATCAAAAACTGAGAATCTGAATTCTGTACCTAACACCTTACAATGTGTTCAGCAACATTTTTAAAAGGAAAAATCTCTTTAAGGAACTGTAATTTGGCAAGAAGAATAAAGATTGCTCAATTACTCGTGATCCTACCCATCATTAGATTAGAAGGAGAGCCGCTAGAGAGGGACAAGAGGAAAGGCGGGCTTTTCCTAAAAGGCCTAACATCTGGTGTAAAGGAGGGGATGAGAACTCACCTTGCAGGCTTCTGATGAGCCTCTCACCTGTGGTGATATTATTCACCAAAACGGCCTGCAAGGAAGATAAACACAGAATGAAACGTGCCTGCAAACTACCAACTTAGAAGAGCCTTGATAAGATGTTCCCGTTGGGAAAAGGGAGCAGCAACACCCCCGCCCCACCTGCCGCGCCCCAGCAGCTGTTGGAGGGACTGGGCACAGCTCTCCCGCCGAGCTCTCAGATACCGCTGCAGCCGGAAAAGGTGCTCACACGGTGAGAGGTTTGCTGTCCCAACAACAGCCTATAACCCGAGCAAGGGCTAAATGGATCCTCTCGCTGTTTTCGCCCCAGACACGCTCCCCTCCACGAAAGCTGGACTTTCTCTGGGGGGCCGGGCGCGGTCACATCCTGAGCCACAGGCCCGACTGCACCCCAGGGTGGGGAACAGAGCAGAGGAAGGGCTCCTTACTGCCGGTGGGGGTGGGGGTGGGGGACAGAGGGGCTCACACGAAGTGACAACAAGCTGGGGAGGCTGAAAACAGAGGAAGAGGAAGGAACAACACAGGACTCGGCGAACAGTGAAAACCGAGGGAAAAGTGAGGAAAGGGAGTGTGGAGCGTATGTCACAAGCAGCCCGTGCGCATGAGCGAGTGGTCACGGTCTCCAGGTGCCCTTCTGAGCTCTGCAGTCCGCTCGCTCGCTTACTCCTCACCCCGGGTTCTAAGAGGCAGGCAGCACATTATTCCATCTTAGAGGGCAGAAAACTGAGGCACAGATTGCTTAAGAGACTCAAGGCCACAGGGCTTTCTTCACAGCCAACAGGCAAAGCCTGATCCAGAAAGCAAGCTGTTGCTCACTACTTGTTAGATCCCCTGCTGGGATCTAACCCCCTCCCCCCAGCAGGATACCAGGCTAGTGGGCTGTACCCTGAGCCTAAAGCAAACAAAAACCTGACAAAGAGGGGACTGGGATCTTCACTATTAGAGCACATCACACGGCCGCTGTTTTGTACACACAGAGCTGTGCACACCGTGAAATGTGCACATTTCATACCGTGTCATAAGCAACAAAGCTTGCAAGATACCACACCCAGGACACGCGGCCCACAACTTGGGGACACGTTTCTGCCTGGGTCCTGCCTAACGGGGGACAATGACAACTGCACCGTCTCCTACGTCTGCGCCTCTGGCTTCCTCCTGGACCTCTGTCCAGCCCTTACTTTTTCTGTGGCTTGGACAGAGCTTTCTGGAGTACAGGGGTGCAGCCAGAAATTAAATGTGGCCAAACAAACCATGTTTATTTTGGGAGATCTGAGGACTCGGAACATTTCCTGGTACAAAAGAGGGAAGTGGGGCACCTGGGTGGCTGAGATGGCTAAGCGTCTGCCTTCGGCTCAGGTCATGATCCCAGGGTCCTGGGATCGAGCCCCACATCGGGCTCCTGGCTCAGCAGGGAGCCTGCTTCTCCCTCTCCCTCTGCCTTTCTCCCTGCTCATGCTATCTCTGTGTCTCAAATGAATAAAAAAAAAAAAAAAAAAAAGGAAGGAAGTCACAGCGATGGTATCTCAGGGAAAGATTATCAAGAGGAGTGTCTGCAGATACCCTAGTGGGCAGGGGAGAGCGGAGACCCCTCAGTGGCGCACGTAGCAGGGAGTCAGATGGGCACAGCGCAGGGAAGGCCTGCTGCACTCAGGAGAGACTTGCACAAGCTCAACACAGACACAAAAGACCACAGGATCCCACGGTCCCACTTCTAAGTCTAGAGCCAAAAGAACTCAAAGCAGAATCCTGAAGAGATGTTCACCCCTGTGGGTTCATAGCAGCACTACTTACAACAGCCAAGAGCTAGAAGCAACCCATCCTCAACAGATGACTGGATAAAGAGAATGTGGCAGCTACATTCAACGGAATATCATGCAGCCTTAAAAAAAAAAAAAAAGTCTGCCATACACCGTTACAACATGGATCAACCTTGAGCACACTGTGCAATGCCACATAAGCCACTCACGGAAGGACAAATACTGTCTGATTCCATTCGTATATACATACATACACATATATATATACATATATATGTGTATGTATGTATTTATTTTTTTTAAAGATTTTTGTTTATTTGTTTGAGAGAGAGAATGAGAGATAGCACAAGAGGGAAGAGGGTCAGAGGGAGAAGCCGACTCCCTGCTGAGCAGGGAGCCTGATGCAGGACTCGATCCCAAGACTCCAGGATCATGACCTGAGCCGAAGGCAGTCGCTTAACCAACTGAGCCACCCAGGCGCCCCTATATATATATGTATTTAAAGAGAAAGCACACATGAGCAGGGGCAGGGGAATGAGGGGAGGGGGCACAGGGAGAGAGAAACTCAAGCAGGCTCCACGTCCAGCATGGAGCCCAACACGGGGCTCGATCTCATGAGCCTAAGATCGTGACCTGAGCCATAACCAGGAGCTGGAGGCTTCGCCAACTGAGCCACACAGGCTCCCCCAGGACATTCTCCATCATTCCCCTTGGCCCCACTCCCAAAACCCCACACTGGAGTCTGTTAACTATCTGAGGAAATGTCTCCCACGCGACTCTAATTTTCCAAAGAAAAAATATTTTAGTTATCTTCCCCTACCTGCTTACCTGTGCATGGAAAACTACCGTCGGCACTGAAGTAAATGAGAAAAGGATCATAAAACGCCATCAAGATCTTTCATATGTAATTTTATATTTATTGAAAATCTTGTTAAATCATTTTCAGGGAACAATGCAAATGCTTCTAGCTTTTCGGAGATCCAAGAAAAAAATCTGCATTAAATAATACTATTTTTAAATGAATTTTATATTCTAAACAACCCTTATGTAGCTGCCACATTCTCTTTATCCAGTCATCTGTTGAGCTAATTTTTCACATTTTAGTCAGAGTGACTCTGGGCGAAGCTGCACCTCCCAGGGTGTGTGGACCGTCCCCGGGGGCGCTCGCCATCACTAATGCCGCTAGAATGTAACCAGAAACTGAACTCAGAAGACTGCAGGATGAACCACCCACGCACAAGCGTATTAAAACTGTTCTGAGAAACGAGTCTACTCCATCAAGCTATTTTCCGCGTTAGATTCCAAGAAAAAAAAAGCTCGACGTTTAAGTAAATTTTCAAAGCAGTAATTTGACAATAAATTCTACCACTCTAAAAGCTCCATAAAATGTAAATGACGTACTTTTTAAGATCCTAACTTTTGGAAAGCTCACTGCAAGGGGGACGCAGATCACGTGATAAAGGAGAAAAGGCCCCCTCCACTGCTCTGTTTTGCTCATTGAAATAATCTGCTTTGAAGGCCAGAGGCCCCTTTCACTTAAGCCGGACTCACAGGCCCCTCAGACTATCTAACCCTTGACCCCACGGTGCCTGGAGAAGCCCTGTGAAATTACCCTCCTGTTAGTGCCTTGGGGAGAGGACCTCAAAATGGAAAGCAATCTTGGTGACCTGTGAAGGACACAGAGAATGAAGGAAGAATATGAAATATTCCTTCGTCTTCCCCGTCCCCCTCACCAATTTCGGAAACCTCCCAGAGCAGCGCTAGCCAAGAGAAACGAAATGTCCGTCCCGTATGGAAAGCTCACCATTTCTAGTAGTCACATTAAAGTGAAGAGAAACAGACTGGGTAAAGGACTGGCACAGACATTCCCCCAAAGATGATACACAAATGGCCAATAAGCCCCAGAGAAATGCCCACATTCCCCAGAAACACAAATCCAAACGAGAAGACACCGTCTCACACATGTGGATGGAGCTGCAAGTTAAAAATTAATAAATAAAAAGCAAAAAGGAAAATAAGTATGGACAAGGATGTGGAGAAAGTGCAGAGAAACTGGAACCCTGAGACGCAGCTGAGGAGAACGGGAAATGGCGCTCACTCACTGTGGAAAGCGACTCAGCAGTTTCCCCAAAAGTTAAACAGTTGTCTCATGACCCAGCACTCCTCTTCCTGGGTTTATACCCAAGAGAATCACAAATATATGTTCGTCCGACACCTGTCCCCAGACGTTCGCAGCAGAATTATTCATAACTGCCAAAAGGTGGGAACAGCTCAAATGTCCATCGAGTGAAGAATGGATAAACATGGCGCAGCCATAAAGAGGAACGAGGTCCTGACACGTGCCATGAGCCCTGAAAACGCTATGCTGAGTGCAAGAAGCCAGGCACAAAGGCCACAAAATGTAGGATTTTGCAGATAGGAAATGCCCAGAGCAGGCAAATCTGGAGACACAGAAGGTAAATTAGTGGGAGCCAGGGGCGGGAGAAAGCGGAAGTGGGGAGCGCCTGCTTCATGGGTGCGGGATTTCTCTAGGGGGTGATGAAAATGTTCTGAAATGAGATGGTGCTGAAAGCTGCACCACATCATGAGCATACTGTAGCCTGCTGAATGATACACTGTAAAATGATTAACATGGTAATGCTGAGCTTATGTGAATTCTGTCCCAATAAACAAAAAGAAACAGGTGAAATTAAATACTGAATTTAATCTGGCATAACCAAATTATCATTTCAGGATGTCATCAACATAGAACAGTATTGATGCAATTTCTTTTTTCCATACCAAACCTTTGAAATCTAGCATATTTTTACACTTTTACAGCATATCTCAAATGTGATATTTTCAGTGCTCACCAGCCACTTGCCCATAAGGACAGCACAGACCTTGAGGAACGGGAAGGGAGGGCAGAGAGCAAGCCCGATGGCAAAGAAGGGCCAATTAACTATTTATGGTGTCCTGCTAAGATTACACACTCACACCATCACCACTCACACCACCAAAATAAGCCCTGCCACCCCAAACTCTTTACACCGACAGCCCTGGTGGGCCAAAGGCTGGGAGAGGCAGGCCACTGAGATGTATGCCTGTCCTCCGGCCAAGGGGCCACAGGAAGAATTCCAGAACTCAGCAAACCTGCCCAGCATGGGCATCGGGTGTCCAGCACGAGCCTCAGCCTGTAGGCACAAAGGTGGGCCATCCACACAGCTGACCCCCGCTTGCCAGACAGGCCCTCTACAGAAGGCAAAGGGAGGGGTGTGTGGGGACACACGACACC